GTGATGATTTGAAAGAGTATGGCATAGTTGGTTCAGAAAAAATTAAATTGTTAGAAAATTTTTAACATTTGGAGTGAAAATTTTGTGCGACACTCAACATACAAAATTTTACTTCTTCTTCTTCTACATATTATAGGCCTTGGGTCTCTAATTTTCAAACTGATCAGTTCTCTTGAGACGGTTCGTGATTCTATCTCTTTGGAGGTCTTCCCATCGTGTCCTTTTTTTTTGTCATCTCGCGCGATTTTTGCTATTCTTTCTCCGGTCATTCAAATTAAGAGTAATAAAGAGTTTGTGAAAGCCTTGGCTAAAGATGGACAATGTTTTAAGTATATCTTCGAGAAAATTCCTCATTTGTCAGAAGCAAAATGCACAGAAGGCGTGTTGGGCTTGATATATGAAAATTGTTATCTAATTTCGACTTTGAATCACAAATACTTGTAACTGAGAGGAAGGCTGTTGGGAGTTTCAAGTTCTTGGACAATGAAAAGGATTTACTTTTTGTATTTATAGTTGCTATATGCTAGAGAGGCGATATCTATAAGAAGCAAGGTGAACTGTTTTATCAAGATGTCAAGTCCTCTAATTCCTACCACATTGTTAACCCTTCCCTCCTCTTCATTTGTATTTCTTCTGTTGAGCACCCTACTCTAATATAATACTCCCTTCTATCATGTTGTCCATACTTCCTCATCCCAGTCTTAACCTCTCGAACACTTTCCCAAAATCTTCAAATAATAATAATAATAATACTTTTATTAATAAGTCGCAAAAAAAAGGAGAGAAAATAATAATACACTCTTAGAAAATAAATGGTAGAAATTAATTAAATCGTACTTTACGGTGATATAAATTTATTCGCTCAACCGGTTTCGATATTTTACAATATCATCATCAGGAGTTCCTATTAAAAGAAAACAGTGAACAAAATCAAAAATTACAATTGTATAAACTTAAATCAAAAAATAAAATTACATTGACATAACCTAAAAAACTTACGTCGGGCATGGTGTTTTAAAACAGATTAAGAATGTTGGTATCATTACAACACCAGCTGTAAACGATCAATTATTCACGTATAATCACACAAGTATGTTGTTAAAACAATCAATAAACCAATGAAAAATTGAAAAATGAGAAACAACCTGTGACCGGTAAATTATAAAAGTAAGCATGTACAAGGTGAAGTGTCACATGAAGTTAGCCAATAATAAAAGGGGAGCGGCAAATTCAAAAAACTAAAACATTACTTTTTGTTATACACCAAGAATTCTAACAAGCTAAAGAGATTATTCATTCAAAGATAGGTATCATATAATCACATATCCAGCACAAAACACCATCACTTGAACCCAAGAAAGATAAGCGATGTGGGAAGTTCATTTTTAAATTTTCCTGGGTTCAACAACAGCCGAATATCTAAAAATTCGTCTTGTAGGTAGATGAAGGGAGACAAGGGATAACATATAATGGGTAGGAGAAAGGTAGGAAAAGGGGGGCGGGGGGAAGGTAGGAGTAATAGGGAAGGTAGCCAAGGAATCCAGAATCGGTGCGATATGAAAAAGCTACCATGTTTCATATCCTCGTCCGTCTGGGGGTCTGGGAGGGGTGTATGGTTGACGAAGGTCCATATATAATGGTTTTTGGGTCAGCTGGAGTTGGTCATTCAGACATTCAATTTCAGGGTTGTTCTTCTTAAATTTTCCTATTTCATAGGTTTCCAGAATCTCAAGTAGATATCCTTTATTCTGTTGATGTAATAATGTGGTGTTATCTCTATCATGGAAGTCATGGTTGAATTCCAGTAAATGTCTGCCAAAATTGGAACTGGTTCTGGTTTTATGTTCTTTAATCCTGGTACGTAAGGATCTACCAGTTTCTCCTATGTAAACTGCCCCACAAGTCGAACAATCGAGTTTATACACACCATTGTTGTCCAATTTGTCGATAGTGTCTTTGTTCTTCGTCAATGTTTCGCCAACAGTGTTTATTGTTTTAAAGGTCAGATTTATGTTGTGTTTATAAAACACACGTTTTAATTTTTGTGAAATTATTACCTTGATATTTTATTGACCTGTAAATGAGGTTTCTGTCGTTAGGTATGTTTATCAAGGACGTGTGATTATTTAGGTTCCGCTTATGTTGCTGTTTCTGAACTAACTTATCAATAGTGTGCACCGGAAAGCCATTCTTTATAGCGATCTGTTTTATAATACAAATTTCTTTATTCAAACTGTCCTCGTCAAGTTCTGAGTTGAACGCTCTATGTGTAAAGGCTCTATAGGCAGCTATTTTATGGGTATAATTATGATAAGAATCGAAAGGTATGGTGATATTAGTTGGGGTTCTTAGAAAATAGACTTATTTTTTGGACTAAGTTCAGTTTGGTTATTAACCAACTGCTCTTCCACTTAATCCCGAATATATAGAAAATATATATATAAAGCAAAAATGAGAATGTTTTTAACAATACTAATAAACAAAATGAAAAAAAACAAAATAATAAAATACGACGACATGCCAGTATAAAGCGATACATTAGTAACTCAGAAGGGAGGATTTTAATTTACTCTTGAACGAAATACAGTTCAATCCTATAAGGTTCATCGGTAGATCATTGTACGTTTTACTATCTGGTAGGAAAAGGATCGGTGCGAGGCGCGGCGTGGTACCGTCAATACATCTTTCCTCCTTATATTAATGTTATGGACATCGCTTCTGAAAGATAGGCGTTGCAGCAAGTAAGGAGGCCGCTGACTTTTAATAATTTTATAATAAACGCAAGTTGCATGCAGTTTACGTCTGTTTTTCATGTTCAACCACCCAGTCTCTGCCAACTTATGACTAATATGGTCATATTTACGAATTCCGTAAATAAACCTCAGACAACCGTTCTGAAGGTTCTGGATACGACGCCCACTCGCCTCCGTTAAATTTGGACCATAAACAACGTCGCAGTGATTTAATTTGCTTAGAACCAAGCTATCACACAGCATAGTTTTTAATTTTTTACTTAAGACGTCCCTATGGGCATACAAGAGACGCAGGGCGCCATACCCCCCCTCAAGCACCTGGCCACATGCTCCTCAAACCTCAACTGATGATCCAATGTGACTCCTAAAATTTTTATATCATCAGAAACAGTAAGAGGTTCGCCATCCACCACCAATTGACCGGATATCAAAGGCTTAATCGCTCTCCTTGTGACACTACCGCAAAACAGAAGAACAGAAGACTTAAATGGATTTAGCACAAGTTCATGGCGTTTCGCAACATCAGAAAATAATGCTATATCTGAGTTAAATTTTATGCATTCATCAATCCAATTATTTGGATTAAAATTCAGCAGAAGCTGTGTATCGTCTGCATACAAGTGAATCTGCGAATGCTCAAGAACCTGGTCAAAATCAGATGTATAAATAGAGAACAATAGTGGCCCCAAAATGGACCCCTGAGGGACTCCACGAGTAACAGACAGAGCGCTCGACACTTGACCATTATTTTGATAAAATATGGGTAATTCGGGATCAGTCTGGATATAAAGTGAAGAATCACCGTGAACAAAATAATTATTTAAATCGTTTGGAAGAAAAATGTTAGGCACTTTGTTATCGATTTTTTTACTTATATTTAAATTTTAATCTTTCTCCAAAGAGCCTTTGGATCTTTACTACGTAAGGCGTAATCATAGTATGCCTTCTTTTCAGCCCGCACCGTTGATGTTACCAGATTGCGATGCAACTTGTATGAAACCCAGTCTTGAGTTAGCTTAGACTTTTTGAATTTTTTAAATGCATCATCTCGAATAGACATTAGTAGTTTAGTATTATCTGTTAGCCAGGGACTGAGAGGCTTTGTAAACCGTCTAGTTTTTAAAGGTGCATGCAAATCCATCAGAGTAAGTAAACAATTATTGAAAAAAGTTATTTTATCATTCACATTTTCTTGATCATATCTGTTTCTCCACGGAATTGATTTCAAATCGTTCAAGAATTGTGGAAAATTAATGTTTTTCACATCCCTGTATGTACGATAAATTGCAGCAGGCCTACCGATATCAAATGCCAGCTCACACTTTACTAGTTCATGATCAGATATATTAGGTACATTTACAACATCAATACTAGTAAACAGCTGATCATTTGTTTTAAAAACTGGATCGAGTAAAGTTTGCGAATTTTGTGTAATTCTTGTGGGTTCGGTGACTAACTGATGTAAGCCAATAGAAGTCGCAAATGAGTGAAGAAGTGTTGTTGAGGGAGAATCAAGCGTAAGAAGATCAACATTAATATCGCCCACGATAATTGTCGAGTGAGATGTAACAATACTCGTTTCCCTGCTCCAGTCCATCCTCGTATTTTTTCGCCCTTTTACCTGCCTCCATCCTCATCTTATCCAGCTTCAGCTTCTCCCTCACTATATATCCTTTTTTTTTCAAATATTCTTTCCTCTCAGCTCTATATCTGCTCCAATAATTTACTTACCTTTTTAACTCTCTGCCTATACAGGCATACAGACCAATTAGCCTAACTTCATTTCTCCTCAAAGAAATGGAAAAGGTAATTACCTTAGGAATGGAGTGCTTATCACTAATCCACTCAACATGCTTACTAGAAAGCAAAATCAACAATTACTGCTCTCCATGCTTTAACTAGCACTTTAGAGGAGAATTACAACCGAAGAGATAGCCATAGATAGACATAGCTTTTGATAACTTTCTCATACTTTTTCAAATCACCACATAATCATAAGCATAACACTTGTTATTTGTGAATATATTTTATATATACAATTTTTAGACAATTAATAATTTACTGCTCACTAAAAATTCCCGGAAATATTTGGCATAAAACATTTAAATATTTATAAATAATTTTATGACCACATGATGCTAGCCGTTCGAGTGTTCCTGCATATTTGATGACCTAAAAACAATGTCGAAACCTTTTTTTAATAATTTTGTTTAAAATTTATAGATTTTTCTTTTTTTTTTATTTCAGATATGGGCTCAGGTCCACCCCAAAGTCCAGAAACTATTCCACAATCATCAGCACCAGAATATCCAACATTAATAGTAATGATAGCCGTCTTAGCGATAATCCTTTTATTCTGTTTTTGGGGAGCACCTGGAATCAGAGATTATTGTCGAAGAAATATCTGTTGTCATTGTCCGATGGATGAACCAAGAGAAACAGAAGGTATATTAGCGATATACATATTTTTGTTTATTTTTCAATTTTGAAACTACCCAGTTTGTAAATCACGATTGGTCCAAACAATTTTTTTTTAGAGAAGCGCAATTGTTGTTCCCGAAATACGCCGTGCGAAGTAAATATTTACGGAAACTTCCATGTGCAATAGTTTTATTTTAAATTTACGGTTTTATAAAAGATTTCTTGGAAACTCATTCTTGGGGTTTAACAGGAAACGGTGTTTATGTTGAAACTTTTAACCGTTTTGGCTACATCCACTAATACACTTTTTTTTAATACATCACCGATTTCAGTTTCGCTGGAATCATAACGGTTATTATGGATATATTTATTTTTTAAACGCCTATAAGTATATTTTTTCGGGTTTTTAATTTTCTTTCTTCTTTTTTTTTGTTGATTTTTAGTACCTCCACGTTCCCGCTCATTAAGATAATAAAACAAACAAACATGGGTTTTTAAAGTTTCTCTAACAAAAAAATAACTTCTACAACCCACAGTAAGTTATATGTTGGAATAAAAAAACAAAACGATATTTGTTTAAATTTGTTTTGTGTACATAAATTTATTATTTCATTTTGTAAAATGTATATAGTTTATGTTGTTCTGTTATTTATTTATATTTCTTGTGATTTTTGTTACGACCACATTCCTTAATAAGATTTTGTTAATAATAGTTTTGAATAAAATTTTTTAAGGTTACGTGTCAACAAAATAGACTCGCCTGGCGAGAATTATTATTATTTTCAGGTTTATAAATAGTTGACGTTGGCATGTAATCGAGCTATTCAAGTGCTTCAATGTAATCACAAGTCCCACCTATTAGAATATAAAGTGCGATAAATCGGGCTTTAAACGGTTCAGAAGTTATTAACGTTTATAAATTGCTTCGTATCGATTTTCTCCATTAGGCGATACAATTTGCACGATTTAACTATTAAAGTTGTTAATTTTGTTGCTAATATCATTTTAATAATATTTTATTAAAAAAAGTTGTAAAAAAAACTTTATATTTGAAATACATTTTTCTCAATATACAGGGTGTTCCGGTGACTCAGGGCATAAAATTAACCTCATATAGTAGAGCAAAAATGATGACGATTCGTGAAAAAAAAATTATTATAAAAGTCTTCAAATGGCCAAGATATGGGCCATCAAAGTTCAAAAATTTTAACACATTTTTCTAAATATTTTCAATACCATTTATGGTAGAGCGTTGAAATTTGGTACAGGGTAAACAAATATCAAGCAAAATCATTGAACCAATTTTGACTTTGATCGGGCGGCGGCAACCATGCTATACAGGCTGTCCCTAAAATTTGTTTGCTCAGAACTTTTTTGTTCACTGGTAACCCTACATTTATTTTTGTACTTTTTAATAGAATATTTATTTTAGAAACTTTTATCACTCTTTGAAAATTTTGATAGCATTGACCGTTTCCGAAAACAAAGTCTTCGAAAAAGTCAAGGTTGGCCATGGCAATTAAAAAAAACAACTTGCTGTCAAATTGCTCATGTCGTTTAAACACAAACGATAGTTCTGTTAGTTATTATTAATTTTAAGTGTTCAAAATGGAGAGTTACACATTTAGTGAACAAACTGACATGATTTTGACATTAGGGCAATGTCAAGCAGCCGCTAACCGTTATCAGGAGAAATTTTCGAACCGCAGAGCGCCCAATCGAAAAACATTTTTAAGGATTGAAACCCGTTTAAGGGAAAATGGGACATGTAAGCCGAAATTTACTAACGACGGTAACGTAAGATCAGCCCGAACACCCGAACTAGAAGAAGATATTGTAGAGTACGTAGAAGAAAATACTACAGCTAGTACTAGTACTTTAGATATGGCGAGGCATTTTTTAACTTCAAAAACAACTGTCTGGCGTGTTCTTCACGAGCAACAGCTTTATCCATTTCATTGTTACAAAGTTCAGGAAGTTCGACTGGCTGATTACTCACTGCGACTGCAATATGCAATATGCAGTCTGCATATTGCCAAATAATGCAGCACAGAATCCAAATTGATGATCAGTTTTTAGAAAAAGTACTTTTTACAGATGAATCCACTTTTTCTAAATCAATTTGAGAAATTTACATAGTTGGGCGGACGAAAATCCAAGATTTAGATCTAAATCTAAGATTAGTCACCGAACCCACAAGAATTACACAAAATTCGCAAACTTTACTCGATCCAGTTTTTACAACAAATGATAAGCTGTTTACTAGTATTGATGTTGTAAATGTACCTAATATATCTCAGATCATGAACTAGTAAAGTGTGAGCTGGCATTTGTTATCGATAGGCCTGCTGCAATTTATCGTACATACAGGGATGTGAAAAACATTAATTATCCACAATTCTTGAACGATCTGAAATCAATTCCGTGGAGAAACATATATGATCAAGAAAATGTGAATGATAAAATAACTTTTTTCAATAATTGTTTACTTACTCTGATGGATTTGCATGCACCTTTAAAAACTAGACAGTTTACAAAGCCTCCCAGTCCCTGGCTAACAGATAATACTAAACTACTAATGTCTATTCGAGATGATGCGCTTAAAAAATTCAAAAAGTCTAAGCTAACTCAAGACTGGGTTTCATACAAGTTGCATCGCAATCTGGTAACATCAACGGTGCGGGCTGAAAAGAAGGCATACTATGATTACGCCTTACATAGTAAAGATCCAAAGGCTCTTTGGAGAAAGATTAAACTTCTAAATATAAATAAAAAAGTCGATAACAAAGTGCCTAACATTTTTCTTCCAAACGATTTAAATAATTATTTTGTTCACGGTGATTCTTCACTTTATATCCAGACTGATCCCGAATTACCCATATTTTATCAAAATAATGTAAACCCTAGAGTGCAGATAATGCAAGCTTTTATGCCTGTTGATGAACATGAAGTATCTATAATAACTAATAACATTAAAACTGCAGCGGTGGGTTCTGATGGTATCTCAATCTGGATGATTGACTTGTGTACCCCTTTTCTCATTCTTTATATTCAATCAGTTTTTCCGGATGCCTGGAAAATGGCTGAAGTAATTGTATTACCTAAAGTATCTTCCCCTTCTGCCCTGAGGGATTTTAGACCGATCAGTATCCTCCCAGTAATGTCAAAAATTTTAGAGAGAGTCTTGGAAAAGCAACTTAGAGCACACTGCGAAAGGTATAGTATACTGCCAGATCAACAATCTGGGTTTCGTTCGGGTTTCAGCTGCGCAACAGCTTTATTGAACCTTACTGATGATGTATTTGCTTCTAGAGAGGCCGGGCAAGCCGCACTTTTGTTATCGTTGGACTTCACCAAAGCATTTGATACAATAAATCATAATATACTTGCATCTAAACTTAATTATTTTGGTCTTGGAAATCAAGCTGCAATTTTGATAAAGTCATTTTTGTCGGACAGGTCTCAGGTTGTGAAGATTAATAGTCAAGTGTCGAGCGCTCTGTCTGTTACTCGTGGAGTCCCTCAGGGGTCCATTTTGGGGCCACTATTGTTCTCTATTTATACATCTGATTTTGACCAGGTTCTCGAGCATTCGCAGATTCACTTGTATGCAGACGATACACAGCTTCTGCTGAATTTTAATCCAAATAATTGGGTTGATGCCTGCATAAAATTTAACTCAGATATAGCATTATTTTCTGATGTTGCGAAACGCCATGAACTTGTGCTAAATCCATTTAAGTCTTCTGTTCTTCTGTTTTGCGGTAGTGTCACAAGGAGAGCGATTAAGCCTTTGATATCCGGTCAATTGGTGGTGGATGGCGAACCTCTTACTGTTTCTGATGATATAAAAATTTTAGGAGTCACATTGGATCATCAGTTGAGGTTTGAGGAGCATGTGGCCAGGTGCTTGAGGGGTGGGTATGGCGCCCTGCGTCTCTTGTATGCCCATAGGGATGTCTTAAG